TTATCGCTTGATATATAATGATCACTCGTTCGGATGCGCATCATTCTATCACTCTGGCTATGCCCTCGTGATATAATTCATCGCATCCGACCTCCAAACAGTGATGTTATTGAGCGATAAAATCACAGGCTGGTATATATTATTTTTTAATTTGATCTTGATATGTATTTCATAATGTTTCAACAAACTGCTAAAATAATTTTAATGAATTGACTCCTTTCAGAAAATCATTTAAAAACATAATGTTGTGCAAGCTTGAATATATAAGGGGATATAACTCTGTAGAAATGCAATGGTCTAAACCCGAATTCGAACTTGACCTGTATTTTCAAACTTCTCACAGTGATTTGATTGGCCACGCTTTGTGGGGCGAGGCGAAGGGAGACTACTGCGTCGTAGTTTGCAGTATTTTATGATATTACATTTGTGTATGAAAAATAGTAACAATCCATGTTTACTTCAGTTGCTATCATTTGAAAACCTATTTTTTTAAAATGCTCTTTTTGGCCGCCATATAAGATTAAATTTGATTTGCCAAATAAATGTTTGATTCCAGCTAAGACAGATAGTTTTAGCCGCTACAATACAGAAAAATACTTTGAAAACGTATCAATAAATAAAATGACACTTGAAAATAAACAACAATCAAAATGGTACATGTAATTGTCATAGAAGTATTTAAAGTAAGTAAGCATGAAAGTGTTTTCTGTTGCAAGGACAATATGTCAAGTGTCGTTTGAATACATGAAATTAAATTTAAATATTCATATTTTTTAATAAAAATGTCTTGCTTGCTACTTAAGGTATGATTCGACAAGTGTTTTGTCAGGTGTTCAAGGTTACCCACTTAATATTTACGCTGTAAAATTGAGTCTTTTTAAAATACGGAAAACGGTCATCAAGCGGTGACAATTTGTATTACTACATGTATAGTGCAGTGGCAATTTTTTTTCTTTTTTTTGCTTATATACAACTGATGCACGTACTGTTTAAAAACTGCACAATTCTGATAAGAAAATGATTAAAAAGTGACATCAACTTTGACGTCACGTTTCTACATTTACGTCATTTGACCACTATGTTGAAATCGTGATGTCGCTGCACATTATTATATTAATAGCGATAGTGAAATAATTGAAATTAACATGCGACGGTACACATAAGTAGGAATTATCAGGTCCTATGAAAGTTGAAATTATAGTAACTATAAAACAATTATTATTTAATTAAAACTTAACTCATAATGTTTATAGTAAATAAAAACAATTAGGAAGTTTACAAGGTCTACACTGCTGAAGTTAAAAGCACTTGTCAAGCAAAAATATCAAAACATCTAATAACTGTCAGGGGCGTAGCTAGCTATACGCACCTACGCACGTGCGTAACATTGATCCAGGAAAACGAAAACTCAAATATTTTAAAAATGGTGAGAAATATATAGGGTATAGGCGTGGGTGGTGCTGGAGTGTTTTGAGGCATGGTTCCAACATTTATAATTATAGATCTAGCTCTAATAATATCATTGATTCTAATATAAATATAGATCTTTGAAGCATTTATATTAGGTACATCTAATAAGTTCCAATAATAATATAATGTAAAGAGTATTAAAGAACTATATAAACCCATAATACGGTTTTAACGGCGATAATGCTCGCGCGAAATACACTTCGCCCGACATACAGAGCGAGTTACTGTATGTGGTTAGATAAACAGCAAAACAATTGCGGAGACCTGCAACGCCGCTCTTTGGCTGTATCGCCGACGAGGCCAATGATGCAGCGCCCATCGAGCAAATAGCTAATGTCCTCAGGAACAGATAAACTTTATAGAGTTTCATTGTTCATTAATTTAATGTGTTCGCTTAAACGTTTGCATTGGGGGTGCAAGAAAGATAAATCACACGTCGTCGCTTGTTATAACTACGTTTTATTATGTCGAGAAAACGGGCAATTATGCCCCAGAAATGAATATATTATTACTTCTTTAAAAAGGAGAAACATGATCGAGATCAACTTTTAAAGCTGCACGCCTCCAAATGAGCAAAACTATTTTGATAAAATCAAACCTGAGAAAAGTGTACTAAAATTTTAGGAAAGGTATACAGTAAAGATTCAAAATTCTAGTAAAACTTTACATGTTATGTGCTATTAATGACGAATTTTTCAGTATGTATAACTAAATTTTATTGCGTTACGAACGCAGTAAGGGCTATTTTTGCATATTTTGACCTCTTCATAGTAATTTACATAGGTTGTAAGTGGCATTGATAATGTCTAAATTGCATTATTTTGGTAACTTTACAATATTAAACCGTTAAATACATTTTCAAATTTTCATGAAAATAAGCATGAATCTGGAGGTGTGCTGCTTTAAAACATTTAAATAATGGTTTCAGAGCTTGTAAAAATGCTTTTAAGAAAGTGAAGAAAGTAGCGCTTAATGTGAAATTATTTGTCATAAAAGTAGCAAAATGTAAACGAAGTAGTATTTTGACTTCCATACAAAATACTAAATCCCTTTAACTGTATTAATCGCCAAAAATGCACAAGAAGAAAAATATGTACCTAAATAACAGTAAAAACGTTTTTCTTGTGTTTGTTATTGTTGTTTTCTTTTTCAGTGACCCTCCTAAGGTATAACCTCAAAGGCCCAGTATGCCTCAGAATTATTTTATTTTTATGTCTCAAAGGCATTTTTTTACTTTTATCAGTTACTTATTGGCAATTATATAATCCCACACAAATATATCTGAAAGATGCATTCGTGTGTGATCATTATTAAATTGCATTGAACTCTTTGAAAAAGAAAATTGTGCTGGCGATATAACTTTTATTTAACTGTATTTATTTATACAAATCTGAATGCGATTTGTTGTGTAATAAAAAAGAAACTGACTTTAGTTGGCATTACTTAAAAAATTCTTAAATTCTCGTCAAAGGTTTGTAACTTATTCTTTAATCGTTTTACATAATATTTTACATCAATGACAACTCATGTGAGATCTAGGACTATACATGTATATATCAAAGAATCTGTAATAATAAAATATTTTTTTATGCGATTTATTGTTATTGCATTATGTATGTCACCTCTCTTATAAATTAGAAAAAAAATTTTAAAAAAATAACGAAAATTTACTGTAAATATATATAATTGAGTATGCTAGATATCATACTGAGAAATTTGCAATATTTTCACAAATGCAAAGCACACTTATCAGTGTGATATATAGCATATTAGCTCAAAAAGAAATCAGTTTTCTTGCTTTATGCCGTATAAGTAAATGACAGCCATGAACGACCGTTTTCATTAACAGTGATGATACCAAAAGTCCGACTGCTACGCGAACATTGAGCAGACAAAAGTATTTAAGATAATAATTATCGCTACGTAGAAAGTAATTACATATGTAGATTTTAGTTAGTAACGATATTTCAATTGAGAAAAAAGATCTAAAAACGATGAGAACACATTATTTTCTGTAAATCTATAACACGGTGCGAAATATCACTGTTGCAGGCTCCATCCACTATAGAATCTGTGCTGTAAGATACATGTATACCGACAGAGCTTCTTCCAAATGTAAACAAGTATCTGCATTTTCCTTCAAGCAATGCCAGTGCTGAACGTTCCTTTATCAGCTTGAAAAGGCTAAAGACTTTCTAGCGCTCAACGATGAGCACTGGTCACCTCTCTGGCTTAGGACTTTTGCAGATCCATAGGTGCTTGCTCTAGGCTGACGTTGTTGTAGATAAATTTGTGTTGTTGTTGTAGATAAATTTGTGTTTGTCACTTTTTTGTCACTTTTATTTGCTGGCTAGTAAAAGCGTACACGTCATTTGTTTGCGTCTGTTTATACAATGTATGACCTTATATAACGTTTATCAAATACCTTAAAATATTATTATACGATCTATCAATTATATCTAAGACGTTCTCTAAATCACGTCACATATTAACACAAATTTAAGTCATATCATTACATAAAAAGTTAAATTAATGCCAATATTAAATTCCTTCTGACTTCAATTTGTAATTTTATGGACCTCAAATGGGCATGAAAATGCATAATTTTTACATCTCTAAATGGTGAAAATCAGTCCGCTTCCGGGGGCTTCGCCCCCTGGACCCCTACCAGGGCTCTGCCCTGGACCTGCAAGGGGGCCTAAAGCGGCCCCCTTAACCCCCTGCCTGACAGTGCGTAATATCGATTTCGGCCTAGCTACGCCCCTGACTGTCATATGCATTCAAAGTAAATGCCTTAAAATAGACTATACATGATTATGCACAGGCGTATAACTTAAAGGAAGATAATTTCAATTATGATATGCATAGGACAAACAACAGTTATTTCATCTTAGTAGAAATTCTTCGTGGTGAAATAATGTTTACAAATATCTTCTTTGTCTGAAATACATGTAAAATTTTTATTATATCATTTTTGTCAGCTTTGCCATACTTTTGATATATTGTTACAAATAAGTTCTGTTTGCAAAGCTCCATAATCTTGTGTACCAAATGTACTTGCCAACAAAATTTTTCAGCTTACTAACTGTTAAACATGGTACTTTATAACAATTTACAACACATTACATTTTAACTGTTTGACTATAATTGTATATTTACAATTTTATGCTGCAAAATATTTAATGTTTCGTCAACTGTGTTAGAATGATATGCAACGTTATGCTTTACTACACTATGCTGTGATTAGTTGTGCGGGGCTATGCTGTGTCTTTGCTGTGCCGTGATAAAGACTTATCTCACACCCAACTCTCCCCTTTTTACCTCTTAATCAAATATGACCAAATTGAAAAAAATAGAAAGAAGTGATTGGACATATGTGGTTTTGTTTCTCATGGCATATAATATATTAATATCATTATAAAAGTTAATGAATATAAATGTTTCAGTTTCAGTTTGAATACACTAGCATGATAAAAATGACGATCTTATAACATTAAAAAAACATTGTATTATCACATTTACTAATTTATATTCATTCAGACTGACCTGTTTCGAAAATGCTATAATGGAAAGTGAGGAACTGGATTCAGATCTGTTTACGAATTGGGTTCGAGGCTCAAAAGGACTAGAATACTTACAGGAAGGTCTTCAAGAATTTGTTGGAGAAAAGGTACTGCAATGTCGTGACAATACCCTTCAAAAGATAGTTTTGACACTACCATCTGGATCACCACAGCAGTGCAACCAGTGTACGTCACATAATCTGTCTCCAGATCATTTCAACACTACAAAGGCATGTAGCAGACGCACATGTACCCAAAAGAGTTCCACCAACTGTTTTGGAAGCAGACCTGTCGGGCGTAGGAAATGCCCTGGTGGCATTTGTAGTAAATTCTACGACTCAATTATACAGGAGCATGTATTTGAAGACCCCTTATGGAAAAACACTGACCCAAGCACGTGGTGTTCGGATCCTTATGGGTGGAGTTATGCAAAATGTTTCCAAACAACTAAAGATCCAGGGACATCAGCTAAAGATACTGATGCTGCTGGTCTCTTAAGCATTATTTTAAACAACAAGTCAATGCAAAACTTTGTGACCAGTATTAATCCTCATAACAATACTAGTTCGTTTCATTTGGTAAGTACAGAAAACCGCCAATAATTTATAAATGATTGATCAAACATTTTGTCTAATTATTGAATAGACTAATTGTATTGCCATTTTATTTAGAAAAAATAACCGTAATCAACAAAATCAGTTTGTTGTTTATTCAGAAAATTAATGTAAACATTCAATTGAAATATGAATTCGAAATGCAGACTTTCTTCAGTTCTTCAGTATAACATTAGAGGTAGTACTTATTAAAACCAAATATTCCTTTACCATAAGTAGAAAAATAATGTTCTTTATGTTGATACATGTATTACAAAAATCAAAACAAAAACACACAAAAACACGATATTATCATAGGAATTATGTGATTCCCCTTCTACATGAATGTATTATACAACTTTTTTTCAGGCGAGAGATATTCGTAATAAAATGTTACATAGCTCAAAGCTTGAAATAGACGAAACAACTGTGTGTTCCTATTTGGACGTGTTCATTGTAGTTCTTCAAGATCCAAAGTGTCTGATTAACGACGAGGCATCAAAGAAAGCGGTTCTTAAACTAACACAGGTACATAATTTTATTATAATTATAGAAATACACATATGATATAATAATGTGATAAGTGAGTATATGCTTTGATTTCAAGTGCTCGTTGAACTTCTGAAGGGATGACATCCGGTTGTATTTGAGTTAATTTGGTATATTACATTTATATAATGACTAAATACAAAGGCCAAGGGAAATATTTTATCAATTACATTAAGCTTATTAAATCAATTTTCACTTTCTCTTATACTCGGTACTTGGTTGTGCATGCACATTTGTCTCAAAACTGATCATTTAACATTGTACTACAAATGTTTTGATCAAAGGACAAGAGAAAAGAAAATAAAAACTATGAGGAAAGAACAATCATGGGTCAATGTCAGTGTTGCTGAAATAGAAAATAAAAAAGTTCCAGGCTGATAATTTAATTTGTAGGAATATGACATGATAAGACCATAAAGTGCATAGCTTATTTGAAAAAAGGTCTATGACTGCTATTTGACTCCATGGGGTTACGGTTAGGGTCACTGTTACTAAAAACAGAACAAAATTGTTTCAGATTAATAGCTATAGTTAGGGACTAAGTATGTAGCCAGCAGTTTATATATTTAATCGACATAATGGAATATAGAAGTTGAAATGAAGAACAATATAAATGACTTATACTGTGGGATATTTGACTGACAAATTGATATTCCAAATATATAGAGATTTTTTCTCTTGATTGATTAATAAACTTCTTTAAGAGCCATATCAAAATTGTTCAAAATAAAGTTATGGAAAACAATTATTATGTTTTCTTTTGTTGGGAAAAAGTATTTCTCACACTGAAGTTATTCAGTTTTTTATTGTGTTATATGTTCTTGGCTACGGATAAAGGCAAAATATCGAGATAAGTACAAATAAATTTGCAATTGATTAAATACCAGCGTAAGCAAATGAAGTTAAGTATACGCTTGACGTGTATTATCCAATAATATCGATTTAACAATGCAACGCTCCGCCCCTACTGATGTGGTGTATACGCTTCGCTTGTTGACATTTAGACTGCATTGAATTGACCTTGAACTTGACCTGCAATTAAAGTAGATATAGTTTGTTAATATTTCGAATGAAAAATGCACAACAGAAAACATCTTCACTAATAGGGTTTTCATGTTGGAGACAAGGAAAAACAAAGGAGAAGTTAAAAAATTCTGGCAATAATGTCAAACATGTACGTAATGGATCAAAACTGTTTTGTCAATAAATAACAGCAAGTTATTTTTACATTGGCATCCATTTAGATTATCGAGCGTACCAATTATTCAACATTTATATAAAAATGAAGTTGTTAAACATTCCCAACGCATAAGACAGATGTCATTTGTAAATTATGACTTTTATGTCATGCTTTGTCTTAAGAGACCGTTTCATTAAGCGACCGTTTTTTGGTGTTTCCCTTGCGCGGTCGCTTAATACAAGTTTGACTGTAAATTTGCAATTGATTACATACCAATAAAAATACATCATATTACAATAGAATTAACTATTGTTATTATCATGACATACCTTATTTACAGAAAAGTATGTACTTTGTTTCCTTACTCACCTCACGAACACATACTATTACATAAGCATTTCCCGGGGGATATTTTATGGCTGCATACATTTATCACAGCAATATATAATTATGTCAAATATGTTTAAAGCGTTTATGTTCCAGTTTAATTATAAAAACCGATAGTTATTTGACTGATAGAATAAAGAAATGAGTATCATATTATACGAGAAAACATCATAAATTGCACTTTATCACGACCGAACTAAGCCAAACACGGTTTTTCATGAATCACAGCCGTGAGCAAGAAAGTAAAACGACAAATAATATATTTAATTGGGGTAAACTTTTTAATATAGAGCAAAAATGCCAGTAAGAAAATGAGGAAAAAAAAATATGTGAAAAATATGTGCTAAAATGTCTGTGTTGTGATGACTGAAATACTTTTCAAAATAAGGATTCCTCCTTAAAAGATGCACTATATTTATCAATTAGATTGTAGAATAGTAATGTCTGACCGACCTTGTTTCTCAACTGCAGTGTATGTTTTATGAAAAAAAAATGTATTTAGATATTCGATACATGATTCAATATATTTCATTTTCAAAAAGGTGTAAATTATACGATTACGCATGTGTCAAAACAACTAAAAATTAGTGTGTACTGTGTAGAAGTATTTACTATGGTAAATTGTGCGACCGAAATATTCCCCCTAACCTACCGAATAGATAAAATTAAATGTGAACAAAAGGCCAATACTTTCGGCGGTTGGCGACATAAAATAACTTGGGGAAAAGAACTGAAAGAGAACGATGTGTCAGGGCAGTAGTACAGAAACAGTCGTAGTACATGGTCCTGAGATTGGGTTTCAAAGACGGGCGTCACAGTTATTTACGAGGGCTGTTCGAAAAGAATTGCTTATTGTCCTCTATCTCGTGATCGATAAAAAACCAATACATACCTGTATAGGGTAATCCAATACCTACACAACGGTGTATAAATGTACATGTTAGACTAAGTGTAAGACATACAATTTGCCATTTTCATACACGCAGTCATAAACCACTGTAATAAAAATGATTTGTAGAAGCGTCGACAAAAAGATGTAATACGGGTTCACATTAAAGCTCGCTCAAAACTGGGTTGCTTTTTGAAGCAGTTGATCACTGAACTTTCTACAGCTTATGGGCCTTCTTGTGTGTCTAAGACACAAATAGGCCATGCAAAAAGAATTTGAGTCTGGTGCAGAGTGCATCAAAATGCACCAATATCAGGTAGGCCAAAATCTGCACCTGGTAACGAAATCGTTTCTAAAATAAAGGATATCATTGAAGGAGATGCTAGATTTACAGTTCGTGCTATTGCACGAAAGGTAGGCATATCACTATTAACGGTTCACTTTATTTTGAAGAAGCATTTGAAAGTCAGAATGATGTCTACTAGATGAGTGCCACATCTGTTGACCGATGAGCAAAAGAGGCGACGGGTTAAGGTGGCCAAAAAGCTGCTTCAAATGTTTCTAAAATATGACAAAAAACAGTTTGCCAATGTCGTCACAGGTGCTGAAACTTGGATCCATTATTTTGAGCCCGTCAGAAAAGTAAGCAACAAAATCTGGGGCACTAAACACAACAAACGCCCAATAATTGCTAAACGGCTTTGAGTGCAAAGAAGGTTTTGTATGCAATTTTCTTTTCTGGTGAAGGAGTCGCAATAAAGTGCCGGTGAAAAAGGGCAAAAGTATCACTGGGAAGTACTACAAAGACGTAGTACTTAAGAAACTGAAAAAGTATTATAAGAAACGACGCCCTGTTACTGGTTTGAAGCATATCCGTTTTTTACATGGCAATGCCCCCACTCATACTTCCGCAACAGTTTTGGCGTTTTTGAAAAAAAGAAAAAGTAACTGTTTTGCCTCACTACCAGTATTCTCCAGATCTTGCCCCATGCGATTTCTTTTTGTTTCCGAAATTGAAATCCTTCCTTACTGGGCGGAAATACAAGTCATGACAGGCATTTGGATCTTCCACTTATCAGTACCTTATTACTGTGCCCAAATCAGCGTACCGTGACGCCTTCAAGAAGTGGATACATCGGCTTAAACTTTGCATTTCTAGCCACAGGGAGTACTTCGAGGGCATGAAATGAACACTTTTGAGCTAACTTGAAATTAGAAGTCTCCAGATAGAAATCAGCAATTTCGAACATCCCTCGTAAAGCATGTATAAACAATTTATTCAGCGAAATATTAACTATTAAAATTCGACCCATACATGGAAATCGAATCTTGTTTATTTCTTTGAATTAAAAATTATTCATTTTAAACCGTTGAATAACATCAAAACAAACATTATCAGAGAAAAGAAAAGCTACGACACACGTCTGTTTTATTTTTTGGCATCATGAATTTTGTCATACTGGACTTCGTTCTATATTTTACACATATACGATCCGTACAAGTTATTTACCAATGTATTCAGGTTCTACTGAGGTTTGTCTCAAACTAAAGAGAAATAAAATTGAATTGACCATTATTTATGTGATTTTTCTATATTAAACATACTTATGTGATACTTATATCACCTTAATGATCCACCTTGGAACTAAAGATGCTGAAGCCATACCCCCACAGCCACAAGCGGGTCTGATTTTTGTTCTTTCGAAAAAGGCACATTGAGAGTAAAATATTAGCAAAACAGGCTTATTAATAAATAAGATAAATGTAAGTCACTTGTTTATAGGACCTTGTGCCCCAACTGAGCTTCCAGTCATAAAATTCTTCAGTCAAATTAACATAATGGCTTAAACTATACACACAAACAGTACTATATACATGCTAATTACTCTGGGGCAGTGCAGAGGCAGATGAAGCGTCTACAAAATATTGAGTAAATTAGCTTAAGGAAGGAGCCACTTCTAAATACTTGTAAATTATAAATAGCCCCCTAGAATGCGATGATGATTTATATATATATCTCTCATTTCTATCAATTTATCTGCACACTTGTATCTTAAGTGATCCCACGCAGGGGAAAGTATAACTGTATTGAATTTAATTATCTCCCTTTATATATACTTTATCTGTCTAAATTCATTGTATCCTACGGATCTACTTGATCTTACGTGATCCAGTTGACTTTCGTGAAATAGATATATAGTTCTCTGGGTCCCAATCAGTGAAGAAGACAATAAAATGTCATCGTTATTTGTGAGATATGTTAACAGAGAACAAACTCTATATATGAGAATGTTGAGCTTGTTCCAATGTGTAGTGCAGTTTGTGACTGTATATAAAGCTGTTCTGAAACCATCATTTTTGTGATGGTGGATGAGCAGTGGCTATGCTTTCATGACTGTTCTGCTAGGCGCTGTGCCGTAATTGGACTGGCATATCGATGTGGTGGTATGTGTGTATATATTCTCTCATTTCTATCAATTTATCTGCACACTTGTATCTTAAGTGATCCCACGCAGGGGAAAG